AAGCCGCCTGTAGATATTTTCGTTGGGCAACTTGTGAGTGCCCTGTCGAGCATCGGCCAGGAAGCGCCCTCAACTAGACAATCTGGTTTGTCTGGGGAAAGAGTTGCTGAAAACTTCGAAGCCAGCAGAGAGGGAGTAGTTGATGAGACTCCAAGGTTGTGGAAGAGCAGCCATACAGTGAGGAGCAGGACCTCAAGCTGTGAGAAGAGGAGCAGTGGAACGAAGTTTCACATGCTTCTGTGATACCAGTGGTGAAGCACCATTGTTGCTCAAGGAAGACTTCATAGTGTAGCAGCCAGGAGAGCTGTGGAGGACCCTGGTAGAAGTGATGAAGCACCATTGTTGCTCAAGGAAGATTTCATGGTGTAGCAGCCTGGAAGAGCTGCAGCGGATCTTGGTAGATAAACCCGGAAGAACCTGATGATGTCAGGGTAGTGAACTTCCAGATGAGGAAGGGAAGTTCTGGTTGACTAATTGTAGGGAGTTGGTAGAGTGTTTGGTTGTCATTAGCGTGCAAGACGTAGTGAAAGGAGGATGATTGTTTACCATTTTTGTGCCAAGGAGTACTTATACTGAAGTAGAGTTATGGATGCAGGCTGGATTAGCTGCAGAGACAAACATATGTGTTCTAGGACTGATAGGGTGATTGATTGATCATTGTTGTATATCAAGGAATTTTTATGTTGATGTTTATAGAATTATAGCCATAGGCTGAATTGCCTGCAGATATTTATATGTTCCAGAGTTGGCAGTGCCATATCATATTGTACTGCATGATTTACCCACTTGGTGAGGCTGATAGTGCAACATGTCTTTATAAGACTTGACCTACTTGATGAGGTTGATAGTATTAGGTGGTGAGTCAGGAGTTAGGATACCGACCTACTTGATGAGGTTGGTAGTATTAGGTGGTGAGTTAGGATACCACTTGATAAGCAGATGATTGAGTCCTGATGGTATTGGAGTGCAACCTGACTACAATAGTATAATATTATTATATATGTGTATGGTACATGTGGCTTGTCCAGTAAATGTATTCCAATTTGCCGGTGTTTGCCCTTGTCCTAGTGAGGCTTCCCAGAAAGTAGGTAAGAGAGAGAGAGAGAGAACCAAGAACCATAGCTGTAGACAGGGTAGCATGGAGTAATATCAAAGAAAAGGGGATTGAGGAGATCATAGCACATAAGGAGAGAGTGGGGAGTCACGGCGGCTCGAGTGGGTGTGTGCATGTGACGAGGCTAGTATTGGCGCCGTATCCCCAAAATTTGTGACGCTGAGCCCCTCTCCAAGTGCCAGAAGCGCCCAGGGTGATCTGGTCAAAATAAGCACTCTACGGAACTTTGGGTTGGTTGTCCGCAAGGAAGAAAGGACGACCAACATCATCATCATAATACCCTTTCCCCTCCTGGGGAGGGGGGTTTGCGCAGACAGCGGCGCGGCAACGTGATGATGTCATGCTCGTTTGCTAGTTTTCGTTTGGGAAGTTCTGTCCACTAGATCGGTCTTCAATCGCAATAGTTTTACCAGAATAGGGTTGTTTTGGGGCGCCTACCTTTCTGGGTGCCTATCCCGGTCGATGGCAGACATTGAATGCTCCCAATAATAAAGGGGGGTCTCTTTAGGCCATTGCTCCTCGTGCCTCTCTAGAGGGAGCCAGGTTCTGTGTCGTGGTCTTGCCATGCATTGACTGATGCCAGAAAGTTATACATATCCATTTAGCCTGGATAGCTCCGGGACTCACCCAGAAAATGGCGATTTATTACTTTTAATGCTGTTTTTTTTCCCCTCCCACACAAACCCCCACCCCCACCCCCACCCCCACCCCCACCCCAAGGAAGCAGTCTGTAACAGCTGTCTAACTCATGTTACCTATTTACTGCTAGGTAACAAGGGCATCAGGGTAAAAGAAATTCTGTCCATCTGTTTCTGCCAGCACTCGAGATAGAACCCGGACCCTAGGATTACGAGTTCCAAGCTCTGTCCACTCAGCCTCGGGCCCCCGCCCATGTGTGAGCTTGGGCATGGTCGAAATGACCCCATCCCTCAGGTGGGTTTCCTGCCCGTTTCCAGTACCTCTGAACTTCATTGTGTTGAGTTTATCCACCGGGTTGGGTCTGGCTTCGGCATCTGTACTGCTTCCTTCGGGGTCCTCCCTTCCGTCTCTCTTGCAATCTCTGGGTTTGGCCTCTGGGGCCTTACGTAGGTTGCTGTCGCCTGCTTCCTCTTTGGGTTTTTCGGGGTTCAGTGTTCGATGTGTTCACTGATGCCTCGTCTCTCGGTTTGGGCTTTGTGGCCAGTACTCACAAGGCCGGCCAGAGGCAGTGGGGTTCGTTATTTTGTTGGGCCCACAGCACAGTGCGGGAATTTGTGGCGGTTTGGCTTTGGCTTCAGAGTGTTCGTGTCGCTCTGGGTTCCACGATCCAGCTCGATTCGGACTGCCCTCCGGTGGTTCATTGTCTGAACTGGGGGGATCTCGTCGGTCCTTGACTCTTTGGGGCTGGTCGCTTCGAGTGACTCGTCTGCTGGATTCTCTGGGTTTGGCTGTTCGTGCGGTTTATATCCATGGAATTTCCAACAGCTTGTCTTGGTTCATTCCCCTATCTATGGAATGGACGGTCAATGCCGACTCTTTCGGTTGGCTTTGCCAGATGTACGGGGCTCCTGGAGGTGGACCTCTTCACGCCAAGACCACGAGTGGTCTCGGCGTCTCCCAATATATGTGGTGCCATTCCCCGACTGCAACGCCTTCGTGGTGGACGCCTTTCGGCAGGACTGGTTGAGGTGGGGTTACCTGTACCTCTTCTCCCTGGTCCAGCTGTTGCTTTAGGTCCTGGCTCAGGTCCAGAAACCTCGACCAGTATTGGATCGTTAATTACAAATGAAGGTACGTACACAGAGGACAACAAAGAGATTAGTGAAATTCTAAGAAGCCAGTATGAGGCTATGTTTAGCACACCAATAAACAATATGAAAGTTGATGACCCAGACAGCTTCTTCATGACTGACATTCAAGCTGCAGATAATATAACGGATATTACCACAAACTCGGAAGACTTTGAAAGAGAAATCGACAATATGCCTATGCACTCGACTCCTGGGCCTGACTCATAGAATTCAATATTCATAAAGAAATGGAAAGTACCAGTAGCGCGAGCACTCAGCGTAATATGGAGAAAGAGCCTAGATACAGGGAAGATACCAGCAGCACTTAAATCTGCAGATATAGCTCCGTTGCACAAAGGGGGGAGTAAAGCCTTGGCAAAAAGTTATAGGCCAGTTGCACTAACATCCCACATAATAAAAGTGTTTGAAAGAGTGATTAGGAATCAAATTTCTAGTTTTATGGAAACAATGAGTTGCACAACCCAGGACAACATGGATTTAGACCGGGAAGATCCTGTCTGTCACAGTTACTCAACCACTATGACAAAATCACAGTAGTTATAGAAGAAAAGCAAAATGCAGATGTTGTATACACAGACTTTGCAAAGGCATTCAACAAATGTGACCATGGGGTGATAGCACACAAAATGAGGTCAGTGGGAATAACTGGAAAAGTAGGATGCTGGATACTCAATTTCCTGTCGAACAGAACACAAAGAGTAACAGTCAATCAAATAAAATCGAGTCCAGGCGAAGTTAAAAGCTCTGTACCTCAAGGTACAGTCCTTGCACCGCTACTGTTCCTTATTCTCATATCAGATATAGACAAAAATACACGTCACAGCTTCGTGTCATCGTTTGCAGATGACACAAAAATCAGCATGAAAATTACCTCTGCTGAAGACATTGAAAAATTACAAGCAGATGTCAACAAAGTTTTCGATTGGGCAGCAGAAAATAATATGGTGTTTAACAGTGATAAATTTCAGGTACTCAGGTACGGCAAAAATGAGGATATGAAACCTAATACAGGGTACAAAACACAATCGAATCTTTCCATAGTAGAAAAACAGCATGTCAAGGATTTAGGAATAATGATGTCCGACGATCTAACGTTTAGGGAGCATAACCAAGCAAATATTGCGTCAGCCAGAAAAATGATAGGATGGATTACGAGAACTTTCAAATCCAGGGATCCCATCACAATGGTTGTACTCTTCAAGCCTGGCCTCGGGCCGGGCTTGGGGAGTAGAAGAACTCCCAGAACCCCATCAACCAGGTATCAACCAGGGCCCAAGGTCCTGGCGTGGGAACTACCAAGGTGGTCTTGCTCAGAAAGTAATAACACTGGTCTACTGCCAAAATGCTTCTGAAACAAATGAGGTCAATCTTAACTAATTATGGGTCACTAATTAGGGAGCCGGTCGGCCGAGCGGACAGCACGCTGGACTTGTGATCCTGTGGTCCTGAGTTCGATCCCAGGCGCCGGCGAGAAACAATGGGCAGAGTTTCTTTCACCCTATGCCCCTGTTACCTAGCAGTAAAATAGGTAACTGGGTGTTAGTCAGCTGTCACGGGCTGCTTCCTGGGGGTGGAGGCCTGGTCGAGGACCGGGCCGCGGGGACACTAAAGTCCCGAAATCATCTCAAGATAACCTCAAGATAACCACTGAAAATGGTAGTGAGGTTTAAAATGGATTGGCTTTTAGTTTTCATCCAAGACAAGTCTTAAAGCTGTTTTGCTGCATAATGAAGTATTTTGCCATGAATAAATTAATAAATTGTGGCCCCTGCTTTATGCTTGGTGTTTTCTTCACAACTTGTTCAGTCACCTCTGTGTTGGCATTCATAAAATTAAAGTATTCATTCTTGGTGTTAAATATAACGGTAAAATTCCAAAGATTCAAATTGGCAAAAAATATCTTTATTTATTCGATCAACTTCAAATTCTGAATACTGTATCACTATATACATTTCTCTTTATCTTCCTGTTTTTTTAATAGCCATGCACTCTAAATGTGTTAATGCTATGAGGAAGGTGAATCGTTATAATAACTTATTTGGTGTATGTGGCATGTTTGATAATATATATATTGTTCTTGTATATTTTACTTTCAGATCGAGTGAAATGCTGGAAAATAAATTGACCAATTTACCAAGCTACATTGAGTCATTAGCAATAATTATCATCAACATGGACTTGGTAAGTAATACAATAAGAAAATCAAAATTGTTTATCAGAAGTCATGAGTAGCCTGGAAGGTGTTGGTAGTGGAATTGTCCTTTTTCTGTGTCTGTACACCTTGCTAGCTCCCTACACCTTGTATATTCAGCTTGTGTTAAAACATTGTGTTCAGACATAGTGTTCATGCCAAAGCTTCCAAGGAGAAGAAGGGAGGACCAAAGTCACTGAAGAAGTGGACACACCATCCAATGCACTCGAGCATCCTGGAACCAAGCATGCAGAAAGGCACTTAAATGTTACCCCACCACATAATTACTGGGGTGTTCTACAAAAAGGCAGACAGGAGGAACCCCTGGTGACTGTCAGACCTACCTTGAGGTTACCTTGAGGTGCTTCCGGGGCTCAGTGTCCCAGCGGCCCGGTCGTCGACCAGGCCTCCTGGTTGCTGGACTGATCAACCAAGCTGTTGGACGCGGCTGCTCGCAGCCTGATGTATGAGTCACAGCCTGGTTGATCAGGTATCCTTTGGAGGGGCTTATCCAGTTCTCTCTTGAACACTGTGAGGGGTCTGCCAGTTATGCCCCTTATGTGTAGTGGATGCGTGTTGAACAGTCTCGGGCCTCTGATGTTGATAGAGTTCTCTCTCAGAGTACCTGTTGCACCTCTGCTTTTCGACCGGGGTATTCTGCACATCCTGCCATGTCTTCTGGTCTCATGTGATGTTATTTCTGTGTGCAGGTTTGGGACTAGCCCCTCAATTATTTTCCACGTATAGATTATTATTTATCTCTCCCGCCTGTGATCGAGGGAATACAGATTTAGGCTCTTTAGTCGGTCCCAGTAGTTTAAATGTTTTACTGAGTGGATTCTAGCAGTAAAGGATCTCTGCATGCTCTCCAGGTCAGCAATTTCTCCAGCTTTGAAAGGGGCTGTCATCGTGCTATAGGTTGTGTTCTTGTCTATGTCCGGTATGAGGATGAGAAAAAGTACTGGAGCAAGCACAGTACCCTGGGGGACTGAGCTCTTCACGGTTGATGGGCTGGATTTTATTTTGTTGACTATTATACATTGGGTTCTGTTAGTCAGGAAATTGTAGATCCATCTGCCTATTTTTCCGGTAATTCCTTTGAATGCATTTTATGTGCAATAACACCATGGTCACATTTATCAAAAGCTTTTGCAAAATCTGTGTAAATTACATCAGCGTTTTGTGTGTCTTCCATAGCATCTAATGCCATATCATAATGGTCCAGCAACTGCGACAGGCAAGAGCGCCCTGTTCTGAAACCATGTTGTCCGGGGTTATGGAGATGCTGTGATTCCATGTATTTTGTGATCTTACTTCTTAGCGCAATCTCAAAAATTATGATGTGTGATGTTAGTGCTATCGGTCTGTAATTTTTTGCCTCTGCCTTATTTCCTCCTTTATGGAGTGGTGCTATCTCTGCTGTTTTTAGTATATCAGGGATAATGCTAGTAACTAGGCTTTGTATCCACAGAATGTGAAGAGCCTGCAATAGTGGTTTTTTACAGTTCTTGATGAATATGGAGTTCCAAGAATCTGGGCCTGGACCTACGTGAATGCTGAAAATATCACTACACTTCACATGCTGAAAATACCTCTGCAGTGGAGCTGTAGGGTTCAAAGTTAGAACTCCATGCTTATATCACTGGTACACCATAAACCCTACCATGGGCAGGAGTCTGTGAAACGCTGATTGCTGCAGCACATGGGAAGACTTCACTTAAGCTGGCAGCTGTAGGTGAAATACCTAGATGAGCAGCAGGAAAACATCAGCCACTGCTGCTAAATTCTACAAAATCTCCCAGTCTTTGAAAAGAAGAGGGAATGGGGCAGTGAACAGAAGGGAATACCTGAAAACACGCTGCTGGAAAGAATTGAAAACTGACAAGCGCAGTAAGCCGCAAAAAAGTATTATCACATCCTTCAAGAGCAAAGCAATCAGTGAAGATCACCCCCATCCCCTCCTACACAGATGAAGAGAACTGCCACCAACTTGGTGCCAGCTGAATGGCCCACTGCAAACAGAGCTTTTAAGAAAAAACAAAAGATAGTCTCCACCCCCCCTTCCCCACCTCCCCAGGAGGAAGTCAGGACCTTGTACTGTGCCCAGGAAGTGAAAGATGACCCATAAAAAAAGGTCCTATAGTAGATGCTGTTGTAATCCCACAACAGAAACTGATGCAAGTCTATCTAAGCCAAAGCAGGTGGTAGATGGGATAGTGGAAACCTGCTTTAAAGGAGTGTATCCAGGCCACTAATTGGAATCCAAAAATTCTCTCATAGTAAGCAAAGGAAGAATTCGACTCATATCAAGATGAGGGGAATGAGAATCCATAAAAAAAAAGCAACAACAGACCATTCCTCAAAATATCTCAAAACTCCCTATTCCGTATAGATGTTTAACCCCCTTTGCACATGTTGCATTCAGCCCATGTCTTTCCTTTAACATTCCCTCTGGAGCCCTGTGAGTATGAAGGAAGAAACAGGATCAGTAAGGGAAGCACCCAAACCCAGATTTGGAGGGTAATACAACTCTTGGCAACAACTGCAGGTAAACTACTGGTAAACCTAACCTAATAGGAGCACTGGCCTATAGAGACCCCCCTGTGGTTGGGAGCATTCTATGTCTGCCATCGACTGAGGAAATTAGCAAACTAGCTAATTTTATGATATGTGTACTTAAATTAATTAAATGAAAATTAGCAAACTAGCATGAGATCACCATTTCATCTCACCGCTTTCTGCGCAACCCTCCCCCCCTTCCCAGGAGGGAGAAGGGGGGAGCCCTAAACCCACCCACCGGCAATCCAACCTTCAGTTCTTAAGCTGGATGTCAAAAAGCATGAAAAACATCACCGACCGGATGGAGGGAGGGAGGGATGCTGGGGAGGCTCCGAGACTTGCTCAGAAAATGGTGTTTCATTACATTCAATGCTGGTTTTCTGGGAGGGGGGAAGCCCCGTCGGCTCCTGGAGCTACCTCACTACAGATAAGGAAAAGAGGGTGGGATCCAGGAGGCAGACGCCACGTGCTCTAACATAAAAACAAAACCACAGACGAAACGAAAGGACCTTGCAGACTACCCAGGAGACCTGAACCCCAGAACAGGAAGGAGTTAAGTAAGGGAACCCGGGCAAACCAAAACGCGTCCACAGCCCCAGAGACCAAGACACAGAACAGCAAAGCGCCGCAACTGAACAACACAGGAAGCACCCCCGGCCTGACCAACCAAGCAGCAACCCAAGGACCCCTCTGGAAAGTAGTAGACCCAAACATCACCCCCGAGAAGGAGGAGACTGCATCAAAAGAACAACCTACCACGAGGATCAAATGAGGCAGAAAAATCACGGGCACTGGAGGAGAGCCGGAAACTCCCCAACCCGACCCCTGTAAGTCAACACCAACAGGAGGAGACCTGAAAAAAAAACACACACCAGAATCGAAAGGACCACGACAAACCGAGGAGAAGAAAATAGACCACTCGGCGCAAAGACCAGGACAGCGCTGAAAGCACAAGAGCAGGCCAGAGGTGAAACAACGCCCAAGACAGCAAGCGGAATGGAGCAGAAGGAACAGCAACACCGAACTCAAACTGGAGCGGATCTGCCAGCGCCACCCAAGATGAGGCAACAGACAGTACATGGCACCAGACGACGGTCCCAGAACAACCTCGAAGGGAAACACAAGACAGCCCTATCAGAGACCAAAGAACCCTTCTCAGTGATAGGAAAACCAGAAGGACCGCCAGGAAACTACACACTGCCGTTGAGACGAAGCATGCTGGTGGGAGACCAACAACGAAACCCCCCAGTGCCCACACAAGCGACGAGAACATGAGACAAAAACCCCAGACGCGAAGACTCCAGGGGAAGAACGAACCAGCCTCGTATTGGGCTGGACTGATCCGCGAGAAGAGGCAGAGCCGCAAGAAGCCCCTTAGGATCGGAACTGAGGAAAACAGAGCTCCCAACCAAGGCTGGCAAAAACGGAAGGAATTTGTCTGCCAAGGAACCAGGAACCCAATCCCGGCGAGCTGAAAAAAACCAGCCCAGGTGAGCAGAAACGCCCCATCCCGGGTGGAACCCCCCCCCCCCTCCCCCAGGACCCTTAAAAGACCAACAGAGCCAAACACCGAGGAGCCAGGATCCAGGCAGAGGCCAACAAGGAAACCTGCACCACGAATTAAAACACGAGACACGAAGTGAAAAACAGCGACCCCATAACCCTAAGGAGCAGCGCAACCAGCTCCTGCAGGGAAGAACGACACACGCGTCTTTGAGGTATACAAGAGGAGAACTACGCCAAACGTGTACTGCAAGAAAACAAAAACGCACATTCTGGAAAAGGAACAGATACACAGCCATGTGTAGCATAGAGGGTGTTGGGATCGAATTGTCGACAACCCAACACATTTAAAATAGGTTTGTTCTGAGTGTTTATCTTATGTTTCGTTGTAATATAACAGTACATTAATTTGATCAGGTATCAGCCTCAGCCGGACCTATTGTCAGGTGCGACACACTTTGGGCTGAGGTCTGACAAAGGACAAGAAATAAGTTTGTATAAAAACTTCATCATGGATATATTCGGATATATCTCGATCCACATTATATACAATATAAAACATGTATATATATTAAGGCATTTTGCATAAGTACAGTTATATATATATAGAGACACTGCGACCATGAAATGGTCGTCTCTTGTCCGATTGTTCTTCCCACTTATAGAGCATCCACTTTTCCGTAATTTGTACCACTATTCGGAAACTGTGTGTTACCTCAACGCCGACCTCTAACTATCAAAGGCGGTGACTTCCACAACTTCAGAGACGTCTACCATGCCGCTAGGTCCTCACGTCCGTCTCCTTTGGTGAGGGTGGAGCATACTGGAACAGTTGGGTCAGTTGGTCAAACATGGAGGGGAGTAGATGTCTGTCTCTCCACATGCTCCGGCCAGCACTCGTTACCTCGCCCGGTGGTTCTAATTGGCT